TTATTTCTGTTCTCTATTGTTTTAGTTTTTACTCTCGACCTTATGTAAAAAGGCAAGTGAATCATTTAATGGTTTCTTTTTTCTACCGATTTTGAATGATTGCCTCACCAGTAGCGCCCGAGTCGTTCTCCAATCTCAAGTCTTCTATTAGCGAATCAATTTAATATAAAATGATATACATGCCAAATTAAATAGTATAAAATAATACGAAGGTTATATCGTCAAGCTTGAAATGGCAAAGTGATCAATAAACGTTTCGACATTAACGAGCTCGTAAGCGCCGGTAAACTTTTTATAAAGAGTTTGGTTTTGTTTTGATGGGCACATCGGTTGGCTTTCGCTGTAACTCGTAAGTACCTTTTAAGAAAATATAGGATTTTATCTGTGCGACTCGTTCAATTAAATCCTAATTTGGGAAATAGTCACAATTACCGCAAATGGTTGGTGCTTAACTAATGCTAATTAGTCGTGACGATGAAGCAATGCATGCCATACTTCGATTTTCGTTTTCACACAACGTGCTTAATCAAGTAAACCTTTTTGAACAAGTGTGGATATTATTTAGCACTAACTAATAGAATTCGCAAGGTCTTCAATCAATTTAGATTAACTAAGTGTATTTATTAAAGTAATTGCCATGTATAATCTATTTTCAGCTTGTGTGGAATTTAACCCTGTATTTTCCCTATTTTTATCTGGTCTTCATAGGTATTGTCGAGGGTATTGTGCGGATGGGTTTACACAACCTTCTTTGGTAACACAGTATACTTGACGTTCAAGGAGGTGCTCGATTATGGAATCAAAGTGCGATAAAATTATATAGGTACAAAGAAAAATCAGGATAAATTACATGCAAATGAAACAGTTGTCTTAAATGATCTTGTAACAGCTGCAAGTTACCCATGGTGCAATACCCTTGAGTTTACCAATTCTAATACAACAACGGCTTTAAATTACTTAGTGGTGGGATAGTTTTGAGGATTTTTTAAACTGGTGCTTTTTTTAGCAGTTTTTTAACCAAGCACAAGAAGAAAATTCCTGTTTCACTGAATGGCGAATTTTACACTGTACAATTATTTATTTGAACATGATTTCGACTATAGAAAATCATAACAGTTTTAAGATACCGAATAGTTCACACTCAAATTTCCCCGGACTACTGTGGCGAACTGTTTCGTGACTCCCCCGAAAAAACCTCTAGTCTGGAACTACCTTAGCTGCCGGCGGTCCTACCCGAGTCTTTAATCCAACTGTCCCTTAGAACGGATGAATAATTCCTATTTATATTTTCTAGTTAATTGAGTAAAATGGTAGGGTTAGCCAATTTCAGGATGTACACAGAGTCATAATTCACGCTTCTATGTGCAACCTTGCTTTTTTATTTAATGTTTTCTGTGAAATCTATTGCGTTTTTTCCTAGTGACCTCTTTTTAATCACGTACCCCTCTTATAATGATATTATTTATGAGTTTACATTCGAATTATTTACGCTAAACTCATATCACTCACTACCATGCGCACACCTAGCAAAATTTCACTTTTATATGCACAAGAACACAATATTGTGCCTTGCTTTATTCCTTACATCATTTGAGTTAATATAGTACCTCAATTAGAAATTCCAAACATGTTGCAAGTCATCGACAAAGAATAGTACCTACTTGGTTCCTTTTTTATCTCTTAAGCCTATCATTGGAAAGTCTTTTTCCTTTCAATAAAGCCAGAATCAAAGTTGCAATATGCAACATCGTTTTTGGCTATACTACGAGAGAATCGATAACATTATTAGCACTATTTAAAATATTTCCGAAAATGCACGACAAAATCGAACAACAAACACGAAGTGCAAGAAACCGAATTAAAAAAAATTAATACGTTATCACTTAGCAGTGATGTAGCACCCTCTCTCATATTTAATACACTGGTGTGTATTTTCCGCAACGTTAATACAGTTTACTCTTAGGTTTATAAACAAAATATTTTCAGTAATCCATATCTTATTGTAGAGTTACAATAACTCATTTATAGTTTCTGAAAGCAGAGGTTTAAGAAAAATAGATGGGATGTAGTCTGGTCCATGAACTGAATCTTTTAGCGATTTGAGGGCGGAATTCAACTTGTTTTAATTGAAAGAAAGGTTAATTGAATCGGTATCGGGAGATTTAAAATTGGGAATGCTGGATTTATTTCGTTGTGTTGTGTTGTGGTTTTTTCAAGGAACTGCTCACCGATATTGGCTATTTTCTGGTCATCTGTATCGAGTTTACCTTCGCACGTTAGTGCCGGAATTGTATGTGTTGTATTTGTCCCATTCATTTGTGTCTGTAGTTATTGTGGTAACACACTGCTTCCACGATCCTCGTTTGCTAATTTTCAGTAATATTACAGAGAATTTCACAAGATTTCAGAATCGATATATTTAATGTTATAGTAGGAAATTGGGGGAAACGTTTCAATAAACTTATGAAGCTTCCTCAAAAGATTTCTAAAACATTCTTCCTCCTTAATTGTCATAGATTGATATTCGAAATATGTATTGTTATATTTTATTGATTACTGTTGGTCCACGAAAATTCCATCAAAATTATCAAACAGACTCCAAGTAATTAGGGAACCTAAATTGAATATTGGGATGCTTTAGCAATAATTATTCATGTATTTTACTTACTATTCATCTACATATATATACACAAAAATGGAGTGGTCTAATAATAATTATAATTATAGTATTTGATTTAACACTTACTCTGCATATGCAATTATTTAAATAACATTAATAAATATAATTCAAGCTTCTCTACTCTTTCAAAAATACTTGTTCATGTAGTGAATTTACCAATAATCAGTCATACGTTTGATTGACACCAAATAACGTTAATAAAAACAGTTCACGCGCCCCTACAATTTATAAAAATGTTTTTTTTCAATATTCTTGGCAAAAGTAATGGGGGAGCGTAAGTTTAATTATTCGTTTATTTTACTGAAGCTTCCTCTATAAAATATGAAATGAGTTTGCTCTACGAGAACAATTTTTTTGAAATTATGCTACGGCTTCCTAACCCTTAAGCATTCATTAATTAAAATTTGCAATTACACAACCAATTGAATATCTTAGAGAACCAACACTAATGTCGTGTGCAACTTTGTCCGTCTTTGTCATAGATCATTCCGTATATAATTTTATCATTTCAACGACAATTACGTACAATCGCGTACAATGCAGTAATTATTAATTGCGATTCAACTTCATAGGTCGTAAAATGCTAAATCATAATGAAACAGGACGATATTAATAGCGGATACTAAAACAGTGTGTTATGTGTGAGGGTGCGGAGGGGTGAGCCTAACATTATTTTACTATTTTAATACCTCTCATTTCATTTGCTGTGTCTACATTGTACGTACGAATGTAGGTATTTCAAGGTATTTTTTAAGTGTGGGGAAGTACGATTTTATGATATTTTAATCTTATTTTTACTACGATTATTACGATGTGTTGTAAGCTTGTTATTTTTGTTGCAATGTTGATATTATTTGCACTAATATAATATTATCGTGCGTTTTTGACATTCTTATAACTACCGGTGAGAACTAGCGTGAGAATCAAGTTTAAATATGCCCAACAACTCTTTTAAAGAACTCTTTCCTCTGTCCACCTTTACTGTCAAACTGTGCACCTTTACAAAATTAAGTGGATTAGTGTATGAATGACGCTTCAATGTCGAAAACGTGATTACGGAGGAGGTACAGGACACCCTCTATATGTATAACTGCAAATACAGAGCAATATGCATGAACTTTCGCACCCACCATTTATGGAATCACTAAAAGGACACGTTTTGATGTCCTTTTTTGTCATTAAATAATGCATTATGGGGCAATGATAGTGTATGACTTTATAACTGGCTACTTCTGAAAAATGAATACAATGTTCGGCGAGTTTATGCAATAAACTCGAATTTAGCGTTTTTCAAATGAAATCTGTGAAGAAGCAGCTCGTTAAACAAATTGCAGGAGTCTAGCTTTTGATTTTAATGAGTTTAATTTTATCTATGGGTTAACATTTTATAGTTATGGGCATGGATGTTTTCTAATAAGGTTGCTATTAAAATCATTGCATGTGGAGTTTATTACTACAGTCTACAGCTTCTCTATACGAACATGCCATTTGCGTAATAGGTAGATAATGAAAAGAAGCATCCTGCTCTTTCAATTCACAATTAAGTACATACTTGTAATAATCCATAACTGCAAGTTATTGGCCATTTCAAGCCACATCCAGTGATTTTTTAAAATTATATTATTACTTACCACTGACAAACACTAAAGATGGTAATCGTAATTTGAATACAAAATGTTTCATTAACATCTCACACCATAGAAGTCTAATAGGCGTAAAATAGAATAAAAATGTCGAGTTTGATTAAATTTTTTTAACACGGTTTAACTGTGAAAACTTCGCGGTACAGGCAATGGTGACTTTTCGCTATTATTTACCGGATGTCTTTGCGAACTCGAATGGCAACTGATGTTGGCTTGCCATTAGTTTAATGTTTGTACTGCTGAAACGATACACCATGAGAACATAATGCTCCTTAACAATATTTGAGTGTTCCGAATCGGATCATGCGTGTCGCTTCCCCAAACGTAATTCCTTCAAGGTCCAGCCTTGCAAATTTAAACTCCACAAGCACACAAATTGAATGAGTTCTCGGGAAAGAGTGAGATTTGTAACGGAATTGCTGAAAATAAACTGTTTGCAAAATGCTGACCAAGACCGCAATATTCCTAAACAAGGAGGCGATTTGAAAGTTACTCTAGTTTATATACATCCATGTAAGCTTAAACTAAAAAAAATGATCAATAGACACACCTAAGCCACAGTGTGAAGTGAAATAAAAACCATAAATAGGCATTTAAATCCCAGAAAGGATTAATGATAGCTAATTATATCCCTCTGCTGCTGCTCGAAACTCAAAAATAAACTTAAAAGTCACAGCATAATGGAGCAAGAAATATTTCAAATTTAAAATCAATAAAAGGATTGAGGAAATGAGGATGTGTGGAAGAGTGCAAGTAAGATGTTTCATCACCTTCTTTCACATCCAAACTTTTGATATCATGTACTGCGAAATAAAAAATCAAAGTATGATGTGCAAAGTACTAACAAATTGGATGTAATTAATGTATGACTGCATATTATATCGCATCGGCACTGTTACAAGGTTAAGCGATCATTATAAAAAGTACAAGGGACAAGGACGGATTTTGCTTTGTGTTGTTATGGGAGTAAATATTGTACCAAGCTATTCGCTTATTCCCATGGTTATCAAGGACAATGGCAGGGTTTAATCCTGTGGTGGGTCCATTTTAAAATGTATCGTCTCTAATCTTTCAGTCCATGCCAAAAATCTAAAACGCAGAGAACAGTTGTTTCCAAGATTTGCATAGGGAAAGGAAGTTGACTCCACATTTAAGTTAAGCTGAGTCAGTCTGTTTACGTCAGAGTTCCAGCAAGTCGCCGTTTCCGTTTTAAAAGTTTTTGTTAAATAATTGAGTTCGTCGTCCAGTCTATGAAAGTGTCACATTGATGTAAAATTTTCGTTAGTACCCGTTCAACCAAATGTCAATCACAAGTTAATAAAAATGTGAATTTGTTAAAGCTCTAAGTTTTTCGTGAAAGTGAAGTTTCGTCAGTAAGTGCGTTCCGTTGGACCAATTTTAATCGTAGATATTTCTGTCCAAATTAATATTCAGGTTCAATTCTATTCAATTATTATGCCAGATGTACCAAACCGAATGCTTGTTTCAATTTCCCAAAATGATGTTACTCCTGACCTAGTGGTCCAACATGAGCGAATAAAATATTGAAACTTTACATTGGAATAGCCAATCAATCAATCTCAACGCACCGTTTGTAATAAAAGTGTACACAACAATTAAACTGACGCATTCTTCCAAATTTGACTCAAATCATATTTCAAGTAAAGGCGTATATGGCAGAAGATAAAAGGGTTATCATATTTCGAATGATAAAGTGAAAATGATCTTGGCATCTTTTAGTGGCTCTTAAAATATAATTTTAATGATCCAGGATAAGTGAAAGCTTCATCCTACTGTGAGTGTAGGCTGCATGTAATGGAATAGTAATAAGCGGAAGATAAAACGAGTAAGTTAAAAGTCAGAAAGCCATGTCTACCTCTATTTCTTTTGTACCATCACTGCCACCACAATAACCACTACACTTTTTAATGATCGAATAAACTTTTCAATTCATCCATTCGGCAAAACTGAACTACAACTTGGTGCATGATGAATGCTGAGACAGTAATTTCGAGAGTGAATGAGCCTCAAATTCCAAAGAATCGATTTTCATGTGATATACAACCAACCAGTTTATGCAATTAGCAATTATCATGCCATACGTACCTACCACATTTACTGTATAATCGAAGTCAAAAATTATTTATGGTTTTTCTCTTCAATTATATAACAATGTAATGTTGTTTTTCGCGATGGCAATTTATAGACGTATATGTGTCGTTGTGGTGTCTTTTTCTTATTTTACATCTATAACTTAGCGTTCAAATAACGCTTAGACCAGTAAAGTAAATTTATGGCTGTTATTTTATGACCGAATATAAAACTCAATTCTACCTTTATAGCGTGTCCGATAATTTTTGGAGGAGATACTCGGTCTCATTTGTATACTTTTTATAGCGACAAATTTTATTTGTTTATGATGAAAACCACCACTTATTTGGGCTCGGAATTTCAGTGAATTTTGCTTGATCTATTGGTGTTAGCACACATTTTAATAAATTTGGGACTACCTTCTGCTAAAAATTATATTGGAATGGGGAAGCGTCTATAACAATATACTATTCCAATATAATATACACAGACTCTTTTAAGACAATACCATTGAATAATAATTATTATTCAATGACAATACATGCACAGTGTTTCTATGTATCCTTTTAAATGGGCTACATCAAAGCATCAGTACATAATATCTAAATTGATCTTATTCAACACAAAAACCAGATACTTAATAAGTTTCTCATTGTGATGTATAGAATGTCAATGCGCTCAAGTTGTCTGATACTGCTAAACACTAGGGAGGTTAAAAATTGCTTTTATCCTTCACAAGTTCATACTCGTATTGTTTTTTACCAACTACCATACCCAAGAGAAATTACAATGAGCGCAAGAGAAAAATAACAAAAAAGGTTACTGGACCTTTCAGAAAAATTGGTTTTGTTTCTTACCACCGCCGAAAGAAGTGCAGGTCTATGTGGCTATCCTTCTTCAGTGCTGTTTCGTCAAGTTTTCCGCTGTTGGTAGAGCTCGCGCATCTGAAATAACAAAAGAAATTACAATGAGTGCAAGAAAAAAAGCACAACAAAATTCATAAAGATATTAGACGATTCAGAAAAATTGGTTTTGTTTTTTTACCACCGCCGAAGGAAATCTATTAGGTCTTTGTGGCTATCTGCTTCTTCTTCAGTGGCGTCCCGTTAAGTTTTGATTTCCGCTGTGCCTAGAACTGACGTATCTGAAATGACAAGAGAAATTACAATGCGTGCAAGAGAAAAAGCACAAAAAATTCATACGGATAAATAGTTGGTTATGTTTTTTATCACCGCCGAATGAAATCTAGGTCTTTGTGGCTATCCCTAGGGCTGGCTATCCTTCTCCACTCGCGAGGTTTTGATTTCTGCTGTGTTTGAAAATAACGCATATAAAATGACAAGAAGAATTGCAATTAGGGCAAGAGAAATGGCACAAAAAAATACACAAGCAAATTAGACATATGAGAAACATTGTTTTTGTGTTTTAACACCGCCGACAGAAATCCAGGTCTCTGTGTCTCTCCTCAATGCGTAGAAATAGCGTATCTGAAATGACAAGAGAAATTACAATGAGTGCAAAAGAAAAAGCACAAAATTCATAAAGATATTAGACCTTTCCAAACCTTGTTTTTGTTTTTAGCCACCGCCGAAGGAAATACAGGTCTTTGGGACTATCTTTCTCCATTGGCCTCTTGTCAGGATTTGATTTCCGATGTGAGTGAAAATAACGAATCTGAAATGACAAAAAGAATTGCAATTAGTGCAAGAGCAGAGACACAAAAAATATACACAAGCAAGTTAGACCTATGAGAAAACTTGTTTTTTTTTACATCGCCGAAAGAGGTCCAGGTCTCTATGACCATTCTTCTTCAGTGGCGTCCCGTCAAGTTTTTGTTTTCATTTTGCGTAGAAATGACGAATCTGAAATGACAAGAGAATTGATATTAGGGCAATAGAAAAGGAACAATTTATACAGTAGCAAGTTAGACCTATGAGAAAAATTGGTTTAGTTTTTTTTACGCGGCCGAAAGAGTTCCCGGCCTCTGTGACCATTTTTCTTCAGTGACGAGTTTCTATTTCCGTTGTGCGTAGAAAGGACGAGTCTGAAACAGAAGAATATACAGTGAGTGCACGAGCAAAGCACCACACATTTACAAGGATATTGGATCTTTCAGAAAAATTGTTTTTTTTACCACCGCCGAAAGAAGTCCAGGTCTCTGTGGCTATTCATCTTCAGTGGTGTCCCGTGAAGTTTTTATTTCAGCTGTGCGTAGAACTGACGTATCTGCAATGACAGAGAAATTACAGTTAACGCAGGAGAAAAAGCATCAAAAATTCACTAGGATATTAGACTTTTCAGAAAAAATGGTTTTGATTTTTACCACCTCCGAAGGAAGTCCAGGTAGAACTGACGTATCTGAAATGATAAGAGAAATTACACCGAGTGCAAGAGAAAAAGCACAAAATATTCATAAGTATGTTAGACCTTTCCAAAAAATTTGTTTTTGTTTGGTTACACCGCCGAAAGAGTTCCAGGCCTCTGTGACCATTCTTCTTCATTGGCGTCCCTTCAAGTTGTTTTTTTCCATTGTGCACCGAAATGAGAAATTGCTGTCCTGTCAAGTTTTTATTTCCGTTGTGTGTCGAAATGGCGAGTCTGAAACAAAATAAATTAATTACAGTGAGTGCAAGAGAGAAAGCACCAAAATTCACAAGGATATTGGACCGGTCAGAAAAATTGGTTTTATTTGTTACCGCCGGCGACGCCAAAATAAGTCCAGGTGGTTATCCTTCTTCAGTGGCGTCTCGTCAGTTTCTGCGATGCGTAGAAATGACGAATCTGAAATGACAAGACAAATTACAATTCGTGCAAAAGAAAAAGCACAACATTCATAAAGATATTAGACCTTTCCACCACCGAAGGAAATCCAGGTCTTTGAGACTATCTTTCTCCACTGGTCTCCTGTCAGGATTTGATTTCCGATGTGAAAATAACGAATCTGAAATGACAAAAAGAATTGCAATTAGTGGAAGAGCATAGACACAAAAAATACACAAGCAAATTAGACATATGAGAAAAATTGTTTTTTACACCGCCGAAAGAGGTCCAGGTCTCTGTGACCATTCTTCTTCAGTGGCGTCCCGTCAAGTTTTTGTTTTCATTTTGCGTAGAAATTACGAATCTGAAATGACAAAAGAATTGCTATTAGGGCAAGAGAAAAGGAACAATTAACACACTAGCAAGTTAGACCTATGAGAAAAATTGGTTTTGTTTTTTTACGCCGCCGAAAGAGTTCCCGGCATCTGTGACCATTTTTCTTCAGTGGCGTCCTGTCAAGTTTCTATTTCCGTTGTACGTAAAAATGACGAGTCTGAAACAAGTGAAGATACAGTGAGTGCACAAGCAAAGCACCAAACATTTACAAGGATATTGGACCTTTCAGACAAAATATTTTTTTTACCACCGCCGAAAGAAGTCCAGGTCTCTGTGGCTATCCTTCTGCACCGGCGATCTGTCAGGTTTTGATTTCCGCTGTGCGTATAACTGTCGTATCTGAAATGATAAGAGAAATTACACTGAGTGCAAGAGAAAAAGCACAAAATATTCCTAGACCTTTCCAAAAAATTGTTTTTGTTTGTTTACACCGCCGAAAGAGATCCAGGCCTCTGTGACCATTCTTCTTCAGTGGCGTTTTTTTCCATTGTGCGCAGAAAGGCCGAATCTGAAATGAAAAGAGAAATTGCTGTTAAGTCCTATCAAGTTTTTATTTCCGTTCTGTGTCGAAATGGCGAGTCTGAAACAAAAGAAATTACAGTGAGTGCAAGAGAGAAAGCACCAAAAATTCACAATGATATTGGACCGTTCAGAAAAATTGGTTTAATTTGTTAGCGCTGGCGCCGCCAAAAGAAGTCCAGGTGGTTATCCTTCTTCAGTGGCGTCTCGTCAAGTTTTGATTTCCGTTATGCGTAGAAATGAGAATCTGAAATGACAAGAGAAATTACAATTAGTGCAAGAGCAGAGGCACAAAAAATATACAAGCAAATTAAACCTATGAGAAAAATTGTTTTTGTCTTTCACCACCGCCGAAAGAAGCCCTGGTCTCTGTAGCTATTCTTCTTCAGTGGCGTCCCATCAAGTTTTTATTTCCGCTGTGCGTAGAACTGACGTATCTGAAAAGACAAGGAAATTACATACAATGAGTGCATGAGAAAAAGCACAAAAGATTCACAAGCATATTAGACCTTTCAGAAAAAGTGGAAGGAAAGGAAGGAAATCAAGTCTTTGTGGCAATCCTTTTCCACTGGCGACCCGTCAGGTTTTGATTTAATAATAATAATAATATATATTTGATCTTTTAGCCATTACTTGGATGAGATAAGTCACAGTGTATATCAACAAACATCAATAAGATTAATGACAAACAATTAATAAAAAAATTATCACAGTATATTTTTTTTAGTTGACACAATTTCTTGATCACAATCCGATTTTCTAAATACTAACAAAGATCACAAGACAATTTAGTTGGAAGTTAAGTATTCACTAATCTCATAAAAATTTTCCGCGGTGCGTGAAAATAACGCATCTGAAAAGACAAGAATTGCAATTAGTGCAAGAGCACCGCCGAAAGCGGTTCAAGGCTCTTGACCATTCTTCTTCAGGGGCGTACCGTCAAGTCTTTTTTCCATTGTGAAATGACGAACCTGAAATGACCTGAAAAATTGCTCTTAGGACCAGAAAAAAGGCAAAAATTAATAGGTACACAAACAAGTTAGACCTATGAGAAAATTGGGTTCGTTTTTTACCATCGCC